AAGCGGAGGAGGCTTCCCGAGCAGGAATGGACTGACTGGAGAAGGTGGCTTACCGGGGAGACCACCTCTGTTTGCCAGCAGTTTAGAGTGCCCCCAAGTTTTCAGTTCTGTGGAAGGGAATCGGAGCCCAGCTTCCAAGCTATTCCAAACTCTTTAATCTCAGACTCACCTCTAAAGCTTTCTCTGCTTCCCCATCGCAAGATTTGCCTCCAATGGGGCAAACAGCCTGTCCGCGTCTGCCCCGGCCCAGACTCTTTCAACGAGGCGTAACCTGTGGCTTCTGGGTGAAATCCCTGCCTCCCTTTCCTTGCCAGAGGTGACCTTTGGGCCTTCTTTTGCAGGAAGCCCCTTTACTCTGTGCTGGTGGCCTTCCTGCTGTCCTCCATCACCTTCCCACTTAGCCTGGGACAATTCATGGCCTCCAGGGTAACTATCAGCCATTGAGCATGCGGGAAAATGTACGGAGTGCTGTTGTGTCTCCTCTAGGGCAGCCTTGCCGTGGGTGGCAAAGCCAGAGGGGCAGGGGCAGTGGCAGGGGCAGGGGGGGAAGCTGCCGGCCCCTCTCTGCCATGGGGCAGAGGGGGCAGAAGGTGGGTCCTTTTCCCAGGCGTCGCCTTTCCCCTTTGCAGCTGAGCATGAAGGAGCTGCTCACCTCCCTCCTTGACAACCGCACCTGGAGTGTCCTTTCCCAGAATGCATCGCTGGAGAGGCCTCCCCAGGTGGACCCCTCCAATCTGTGGCAGGAGTGGTCAGACCCGAGCATCACCATCTTTGGCACGCTGTCTGTCTTCCTGGTGATGAAGGTGCGTGTGGTGTCGGGGGCTTCCTCCAGGGAACCTCCCTGTGCCTGGCTCGCAGGGCCTCCGCAGTCCCTGCCCTGGAGCTGCCTGAGGGCTGGGTCTCCTCCGTCCTCGTGGGCACACGCTGCCTCTTTTGGGCTTGCAGAGGTTCTTCCAGTTGTTCTGACTTCTCCCTTGGGTCTCACCATCAATCCTCTGCTTCGCTGCCCAACGGCATGGGATGAATTGTCGGCCGGCCACAGCGGGCCCGTGCTCTCAGAGGTTGGGCTGCTAGCGTTGAGCCTTTTTGCCCTTGCAGTTCTGGATGCTGATCTTGGCCACCACCATGCCCATGCCTGCTGGATACTTCATGCCCGTCTTCATTTACGGTGAGGGCTTCCACTTTCTCTCCGTCGCTGCTTTCGGCCTCCGGAGAAGCTGGCCTGTCCGGTTCAGTGGGCCGGGGTCAAAGGGCCAGGGCACCGGTGGGAGAGATGATCTTTGTCTCTGCCCTCCCAGGAGCTGCCATCGGGCGCTTGGTGGGTGAAGCTGCGGCTTTCGTCTTCCCTGGGGGCATCACCGCTGAGGGCCCCCCCAGCCCCATCACCCCTGGGGCGTATGCACTGGCAGGTATGTTGGGAGGCCCCCTTGGCGCTCGGGGAGCAGCGCTGAAAGAGCGGGGGCTGCCGGGGGCCAAAGCTGCTGCCTTGGCTGGGGGCTGTCCCGAGGAGGACCCAGCCCACC